AAGGAAAAAAAAAAAAGGAAAAAATCTCTTGTATAATCAGCATCTGGCAAAGAAAAACAAATGCAAGCACGGTACTACAATATTAAGTACAAAGCATTTGAAAACTGAGTGCTACAGCAGCAAATATAAAGGAAAATTGCTGAAACACAATACAAAAAGAAGACAAAAGGAATCTGCTGTTCTTCACATGTCATAATGAAATAAATGGGGTGCAACAAAGGAAAGTGGCAGATTTAAAACTGATTAAACAAAAAGAGCAAAGAATTACTTGCCTTGAGCCTTTAGACAAGTTCTAACCATAGATGACCTCAGAAGGCAAAGATGTCAATGGGACAATTATCTCACACTTACTGTGAGAGACTCCTCAAATTTCAGAACGATGTAGAAGCCTTACACATGCAGTGTCTATCTTCCCAAAACAGCATAACCAAAATTCTCCCTGTTAGTACTATCTTCCTCAAATGTCTGTGAATGAGAACAAGATACCGAAGGATCCCTTCCAACCCACTCTATCTCATTGTGACTTTGGCTCAATACATTGAGGAAAGGTCCATGAAGTCCTGGGCAAGGCCACAGGTCTTATCCACAATTCATTAAAAAAACCAAACAAACAAAATATCAAACTCTTCATGACAACTTTGAAGGAAACAAGATGTGACAATAAAAATGTTTAAAGAACCATTAGTGAATAGTTCTTGTCATAGGAAAAATGTAACTTCTAGTTAGGTTTTATGGAATGTTTGTGGCAGTGGAACTGTGGGAAAGAGGGAATAATGGGAGGTCAATACAAATAGAATTTGGCAAATTGAACAATAAGCAGAAAGCAGTTTTCCTGAATCGGACTTGAAAGTAAACCTTTCTCACATACTGCAATACCACCCAACACTCATCCTCTCTGCACCTCTTTGACTCAAAAAAAAGAGAGAGAGAAAGAAGAGCCCATATGAAAACCCCTTTATGAACTTTTGATTATGGACAAAAACATAAAACAAGTAGTTCACAGGCAGTAGAATTTATGAACCCTGATTTCCCAGCTTTGTGCTTCACAAATACAATCTCTGGTGTCTACAAAAAGGTGAGCTGAAATTGATGCCAGCAAGTCCAAAAGTTACTGGAGAGGGGAGGAAATGGGGAACACAGGGACATTAATCTTGCTTCCTTTGAAAACTAAGCTAAAATATGAAAAAGGCAAATTATTAAAAGGTCTTGTTAGCCATAAAACTAAGATGAATACAATAAAATATAGCCTTGCATGTTACATTGTGCATGTATCTAAGGAATACAAAAATTTATTACAGAATTTATGATTACTCACCTGATTTTTTCTTTCAAACCATTCAGCAAGAATATTTATCAATGTTACTTTTAAAAATACAAACCCTGAAAAGCTAAGAGGTTACTGTTGTTATAAAGAAGCTGCAATTTTACTGGAAAGGATAACAGTGAAGGGTAGGGAACCAACAAAATTATTGCAAAGTTACCTGGCCCTCTCCCGTGCTGCATCTTCTCGTGCTTTTTCTTTCTCTTGCCTCTGCTGCTCAATCCGTGCTTCTTGCTCTTTTCTCTTCATCAGCAGCTCCTCAACTCTGGCTTGTCGTTCTGCTTCCAGGGCTCTTTTGCGCTCCTAGTCATAGAAAAGTAAATTCTAACTTTTCTTTTAGGAAAAAACAAAAAGGAATTAATAGAAACTGTATTTTAACATCTGCTTATAGAATTCTATCTTACTTTCATGATGGACTAAGAACTGTGTTTCTTTGGATAAAGAAATAATATGCAAATAAGAGTATATTCAGAAGCTTGAACATACATTGAAAGCACAGTTGTATGAACTAAGCTACACATTAATTGGCCATATATTTTGTTCATCCTGAAAAGGTGTATCCACTATAAAAGCTTATAAAACTATATCATTAAATAAGAGTACTTGAAAACATTTTAATCATCCTACAGTACACAGATAATGTAGAAATAACATGTGCTCCCATGGAATATTAATATTTAAATTATGATTCTGAAACTATCTGAATAACATTATAAAACAAAATGGATTTTGACAATTAGTTTTTGCACTATCACTGAATATAAGATTTTTCTCTCACTACTCAATTTTTACTTTTTTCTGGTTAATTAAGAAGCTATACATGGTATTGTAAACCTTTCTGATAGAATGGCTATACTTCCATCAGCAACAAATGTAAAAATATAGCATGTTTGAAACCTCATGTTTAAATAAGACATTTGTGAGTACACATTAGGTCTGTGAATTTTACTAAGAAGAAATGTGATTATTTGGTTTAGCTGAAAGTCTGGGAAGAACTGGATTTTTAATGTGTTCTTCAAATCCTTATCTTACTGAAAAATTAATCTGTTTTGTATGACAGAATAAATGAAAAACGGATATTTAAATATGGTTTTAAAATATACTCCTTGCCACAAACTCCAGCACTGTAAATGCACATCACTATACTAGCAAATAAATTACCTTTCTTTTGAGAGACACTATGAGATTTCGTTAGCACAAACCAAAACTTGCTGGCATGATGAACATTTTTACATGGTTAGATGAGGGCCCTGCATTCTTAAATATTGGCTTTACAAAAATTTAGACATATTAAAAGCAGAAAATGTTAACCTTTATTCAAGAAACGAAGAACTACAAAAATAACTGAACTTTTTTGTTTCATGCACAGCATTTTATATTACTGAATATGATGTTAACTGCACTGTCTTCACCTCCACAGATAATATAGCTTGGTAACAGATAATCAAAAATGTGGCTTTCACAGTAACCACATTCTTTCATGCATAAAGTTTCAGTAACAGCATTGCACAAATACATGAATTTCCTTCTTAATAAAATAAATAAGACACATTAAATTGACCAGAATGCAAACTGTTTTACAGAATATACCCAGTGTATCATAAAAAACAAATACTAGTTCTGCTGGACATCCCTTACAAAGACCTTTAAGGTTGCATTTGAAAATGTACCAGTATAGCTTGCACATTTTGAATTAGGTACCAGTGCTACTAAATGGAAAAGCAAATAAAAATAAAAAAATAAAAAGCTAAAAAAAATTTTGTAGTAGATTCTGTAATTAAAAAGTTAAAATAAGTTTGATGGAAGGAAGGGTTTAAAGGTGAATCTGCAGAATTTGGTGTCAGGAAGAAGCAAGTAGATTTTATTAAGTGGATCTGAGAAATACTTGAGGTTGACAAAGACATTGTTCAGGCAGATAAACAAAAGCAGCCCAGTTTCCATAGATACTGAAATTTTATACCATTTTTAGAATCCTTGTGATTTTAAATGATGTGATTCCATGTATAGTAAAAGTCCATCACTGTTACAGTAAACGTAAAGTAGTTATGTTTAGAAGTGTTGTATTCTTCTAGTGTTTGCAGAGTTTTTCCATAAAGTTAAATTCATACTTAGAGGCCAGAACTCTCCTGATTAATTTCAGTTCACTGAGGTGGAATTATTTGTTCACAGTTATGCTAACTGCTAAAAAAGTTGTTATACTGGGAGTGGGTCCAGCTCCAGAACAGTGCAGGAAAATCTCCCCTGTCAGGGGAATACACATTGTTTTACAGAGGACAGCACGGGAAGCTACAGCACACCTCAAAGTACAGGGCTTTGCTCAACTGTTAAGCAATTTGTGCATGGAAAAAGCATAGCAGGAAGCATCAGTTTGATCCTTGGTCTGGCAGAAAGGATATGGAGAGAACAGTGTGGTCGTAGGTGGGATTTAGTACTGAAAGTGTTTGTTCTAGTTCAATCAGCAGCCTAAATAGCCTAATGCCTACACAACCCAGGAAAGGACTAAAAAAAATGGCAGAGACAAGAAAGAGTTAAAAACACCCAAAAACCCAGAAAGGGATTCCAACAAAGCTACATTCTAGAATAAGGGAGTATGAGTAACTACAAAAACACAGAATCACTGAGATTTTACATAAGCAATCTGGAAGGGTACTTTTCACCGATAATGCAGTCAATCCTTGGAAATCTAGAAACTTTTAACAATATGTTCTCTCAAAAGAGTTTTATGCAGCACTTTTGGAGTACCTTCTGTCTCAAAAATGGCTTCTGAGTCAATGAAGTCATTAACATGCCTCTTTTTTCAACAAGGAGATAGAATCAGCTGCTAATGCTAAGTACTAAGCTCTGGCAGAAGCTGGATTCACAGGTGATCTACAGTTGTGTTGATCTGAGGTATGTATAGAGAGGGAGGAGGAGTTCACATAAGAAGAAAATTTATGTTTTAGATTCCAATATAGAGAATAGTGCCAAAAAAGTGGATGCGTGAGGCTGGGAAAACTTAGTCTTAGAATGCTGTATTAAAAAAAAAAAAAAAACAACGCAAAACCCACACCACAAAATACCCCAAAACCACCACCCACACCAGGAATCCAGGAAAACAAACACATTTGCATTGTGGTTTTCACTGATCCTGCAAAAGTTTTGTAATTATGACAATAGATATATGATAAGGAATATTTTTCTGTCTCCTCTCTCAAAGTTTTAAGTGTTACCAAAACATAAGGATTTTCTTATAATTGAGTAACAAATATTTTTCAAACAAAGCTTGAGAGGCATAAAATCATCTACCCAGCATCTAATATATAATACCTCTGCTATAGAGGCTTTAAGACTTCCCTTTCTCCCTCTCACTGCTGAAACATTAGAGAGGAGAAACCTATTAGAGTATACTTTTCTGAAGTTGAACAAAGGAGGTAAGATAGAAAGCAACAAAGACTGCATAGCCAAAATGAAAAACAAGTACCCCTGTATTTATTGTCCCCCTGCAACTACAGATATATTATACCTGAACTGCTTCATCACGTGCTTGTTTTTCCTCTTGTCTTCGTTTTTTTTTTTAATTCATTTAACCGTTGTTCATACTCTTTTAGTTTATTCAACACATCGTGACGTTTGTTCTGAGCTTCTAAGGTGTTTATAAATGCGATCTCATTTACCTGCAAACAATCAAGAAGTATAAGAAAAGATCCGAGAAGTTGAAATAAGTTTCATTCTTAGGGAATTCCATCCATTTGTTAATTATCCATTTGATAATTCAACTGGTGGGACATTTCCCCAGAATGGGTTGGAAAACCACCGAGTTGAGAATAAAGCTTTGGCTTCTTGGTGGGTTTTGTTTGGTTTGGGGTTTTGTTTGTTTAGTTTTTTTCTTTAAACAGGATAGACCATGTAATATAAAAAAGAGAAAGTGAATTGTATCAGTAAACCAAGAAACTTTAGGTAAATACCAGGAAAATCTTCCAAGTCTTCTCAGCAATGAGACTTCATTAGTCTGTTCTCTCATTCACTAAAGGTGGAATGCTAAGACCCAGCTGGATATATCACGAAAATACGTACGTGCTAATAGAATCCAGCAGGTCTTTTGATCTAACTTGAAATACATGGCTACTTACTGAATAAAAAACTGAAACTATGTATAACTATGAATAAGAAAAAAACCAAGCTCATTGTCTTAATGCTTCTAATCAGTAGAGCCTATTTCACAAACATATATAGATTTTTTTTTTTCAACCACAGGACAGTGCAATACACAAGAATAAAAAAAGAAAACAATACAAAAAGGCTAACCTAAAAGTACTTTAATGTGTATACTAAAAATAGCAAAGAATAGGTTCATGAAGGTAATCAATATTTTGTCCTCACACAGGTTGCTGAACAAAATTCTTGTCAACTTTAGGTTTTTAAATGCAAATGCTTTAGAAAGTTACATGGATGCGAAAAATCAAACTCTTCTTTAACTTAACTTTGATTTAATAAAATCAAAATTTTAGAACCAAAGTTATTGAGGAAAATCATAAAAATTTATCAGCTATAAACCATACTCAAACCTATGACTGAAATAGACATTATTTTGCTGTACTCAAAGTTCATGCTCTGTCTGGATCCACAAGAAAAATGAGTAAAGAGAACATATATGCACAGACAACAACAGATCACATAAAGGGTGGTAGGATAATATTTGTTCCTTTGTTTATTGACTAGAATCCATTTACAGAATGGATTTCACAGTTCAGTAAACAAGTAGGCACTGGGAATTTAGATAACCAATTGGGCAGCAACAGTTGCCACGGTCTTCAGCTATACCACTCATCAGCTATTTCTCTAAAGCCTTCTGGCCCAATTAACCTTTATTTCCAGAATACAAGAACCTCAAGAGGCAGCAGATCTTACACATTTAAACACGTGCAATACTTGAAACATCTGCTTATCTGGGGAATTATGGCAAGTGTGATTTAGTTAATATGATTACAGAAGTCACACGGGTGTAATGAAATAATAATGAAGGTATGTTAGACTGAATTAGGTAATCTAGAAATCATTTTAGTCCAAGAGACAGAAACAGTGACTGAGTGAAAAAGCTAAATCAGTTCTATTGTCCTTATCTTAAATAATACAGATGAACAGCTGCTTCAGTCACAGCTGGGATACATGCTCATTATATAACATAACATTTTAGTATTAAGGAGATGCATGTATCTTTACACAGGAAAAACATTCTTTAAAAACATTCTTTAAAATAAAATGTTTCATTTATGTTGTGCTGGTTTTGGCCAGGATAGAGTTAATTTTCTTCAGAGTAGCTGGTATGGGGCTATGTTTCAGATTTGTGCTGGAAACAGTGTGGATAATAGAGGAATGTTTTAGTTACTGCTGAGCAGGGCTTACACAGAGTCAAGGCCTCTTCTGCTCCTCACCCCACCACCTAGGAGGCTGGGGGTGCACAAGAAGTTGGGAGGGGACACAGCCAGGACAGCTGACCCCAATGACCAAAGGGATATTACATACTGTATGACACCATGCTCAGCAGTAAAACTAGGGGGAAAGCCGGCAGGACTGGTTGGGTATTGGTGGGTTGGCGGTGAGCAACTGTTTTCACTTGCATCACTTCTCTGTCCTGGGTATTATTTCCCTCTCTTCGTTATTTTCCTTTTCCTTATATTTTTTTATTATTATAGTTGTTTTTTTTTTTTTCAATTATTAAACAGTTTTTATCTCAACTCATGAGTTTTCCCACTTTCACCCTTCTGATTCTCTCCTCCATCCCACCAGGGCGGGGGGAGTGAGTGAGTGGCTGTGTGGTGCTTAGATGCCGGCTGGGGTTAAACCATAACAATGTTTATCAAAGTAATATGAATAAGGTAAACCAAAAAGCATAGATCTGGTGCTTATCTTATGAAATTACACATTAAAGTGAGAACAGCACTAAACAAAATACTTATTTTAGAATTAATTGCCATGTGCTAACTGGAGGTTTCTATTTATTTCTAACTGTTCAACAATATTAGTGGTACAAAATACAGCAACAGAACCATTGTTTAAGGACCCAGAATACTGGATCTAGAATAGATGTTTAACAAAGGAGAAGCAGCAATGAGCTTTCCTCAATTCTCATTCTACGTCCTGGAAAGCAGAGAATTGATAATCAGATCTTCTACTCCTTCCAGGAGGACTAGTTATCACAGAAAATGCTGCCAATATTCTCTGTGAGGAACAAAAGCAGCAAGATGACTATCAGCTCTTTATTTCAACCCATCTCTTCTTCCAGTCCAACCCACCACGATGTCTAGTAACAGCTAACTAATTTTAAATTCATATTAAAGAAAAATTGTCCGTTTTAGAGATCAGCATTTATCTGCTTCACACATGTTCATATCTAACTTGCACCATCCTTCACAACCTACTCATGAGCACTCTGAGGTATAAAACATATACAAGCATAACTATTAAATAGTTCCCCTTTACAACAAAATAACTTACCTTAGCTTCTTCCTCTTGTGCTTTTTTCACAATTGCTTGTAGCTGCACTTCACGTTTAAATTCTGCATGGAGTAACTTTTCCTCCATCATCCTGCGCCTTTGATCTAATAATTCTTCTTTCCATTTCCGTACATCTTTCTCCTATATATGAGTAAATTCACTATTAATACAGTAACAAAAAATAGGGCCTGAATTTTCCTCAGAATTTCATAATATTTGAAGTTTTATGTACAGTAATAAAACATTTTGATGCCCTACACAAAGCTTGCATTAACTTTAACCCAAAGTACACTGATTTGCTAACCGCTTCAGTTTGGTGAGTTTTAGCATTTACACATGCAAAGTATTTCTAATTTTATCATGCCTTCCCTGAATCTGACTCAGTATAGTATGTCAGCAGCATTCTCATAGAAGCTCATGATTTGAAATAATGCTTTCTTTAATATCTGTAATGCACCAGTCATCTGTGAAAGCTATGTGAACTCAGACTCAGAGGAAAATTTCATTTCACTGCTAGTTTTAATCTCTAACACCTCTAAACTATGCGGGGGGAAAAAAAAAAAGGTTTTCTAAAAGGCAGCATACTGGCTCCTTTGTATCAAAAGAAAGCTTACCCTCTCCATTAATTTTTGAAGCTTCAATGTCTTTTCTTCACGTAACTTTTCTCTCAGCTGTTGAGCTTTCATTTGTTTTTCTTCATGTTTCTTTTTGGATTCTGCTATCGTTCTTTTAATAAAAAAGAAAGTAGAGCAAAAGCAAGTGAGACAACATTAACTGTCAGTGTTGAAAATACTTCTATGCCATTTTCAGTAAGGGAAAATGAACAGGCCACTGGAGGGCAATTATTTCCCCCTAAATGTTAATACTGTTCTTCTAGTCTTCAAATCTGTATTTACTGGACCACGTAGCACGAGCCTAGTTCATTATGAAAATAATATACTGATTTCTGCAACACTTTCCACCCACAGACTTAAAGTTTCATGTAGCTATGAGTTTGGTTGCTTGTTTTTCACTGGCTAATGAAGACAAGTGACAACCCTAAAACCTTTTGCGTGACGGAGATGACAGTTTCTCATGCATGTGTATTCCATGTCCAGGTGGACGTGCAGGCTCTTCTTCCACTCTGTCTCCCCAAGAATTACTCTGGCGCCATGATTCACGAGCTATACATAAAGAAAACAAAGACTTAGATAATTTAAACACACTTTCCTGGGAGAAGTGCAATTAATGACACTGAGCTCCTCTGGAAGTTCTCTCTCAAATGGATTCTCTTGAGCCTAGGTAAGGTGCAAATACAGACTGAAGTATCTCTAACCACTGTGCATTTTCAATACTTAATGATTTTATTCCACTTTTATCCAAATGTTAAGATAAAACTGGGTAAGAAATTTAAAAATTCTAATAGAGATGGGAGAAGAGAGCTGAAGAACAAAGACACACAGAGATAGTTTGAACACACAAGTCCATCTTTCCTAAAGGAAACATCATTAAAAATAACATAACTTGTTACAATATTTAGATAAGGGGATCTTCTGAAACAAGCCATGAGTAAAATGGGCATTTTTCTAAATTTTCCTGTCATTTCAATGTAAGCACAGTAATATATGAAAATTTACCTTCATAATCTGCCAGAACATCATTCCAGTCCATAGATATACCGCAGAAAGATATGCTCCCATTGCCCATACTAGCCTGAAATTTAATATGAACCAGACGGTAAAAACAGAAACCTCATAGGAGCACACACATATTAAAGAGTGCCAACTCGGTGATATTCTGGCAACTCAGCAATATTCAATGTTTCCCAACTGAACTAGCCATCTCAAAGCCAGATGCTGTTCCTGCTGTTTCTGACAGTAGAAATGGAGACTTCTGCTTCACCTACAGTAGCTCCCATGTAGTAGCAATGAACACAGCAAGTTCTAGCTCTCCCAGTTCTGCAGACAAATAGGCAGCAGGACAATGACTGCAACATCAGAGGACTTTGTACCACTCAGCAGCACTGTGCTTAATGTGTAAATGTGGTTACATTAATGCAAAAACAAACACTAACAAATTCTATATTCATACTCTGCTGACATCAAAGACAGTTTGAAGTTGGGTACTATAAAATAAATTGAACACTTACAGAGAAATCGCTGTCATTGTCAGTCTCAATATTAATGTCATTGTTTTCCTCTGCTTCAATCTCTCTAGTTAATTGCTCTTCTTCTGCAATAGCACTAGCAATGGCTTCTTCATTTGCCTTTTCCAGGCGATCTGCTAACTCTTCTTTCTTAGCAAGGACTTCTGCCATAGACTGTAGGAAACACGAAACCAGAAAAAACAAACAAACAAAACAAACCACAAAATCAGCAGCAGGCACAAAAAAGTAGTTTCCATATAGTCAATATGAATTACATGATATTTTATTTGTCTTCTGATTACTTGTAGTTCCTTTACTGCTATATTTTGTGAAGGCAACTGAAATACAAACCCCACTAAAACTGTTAGCAACTATTAACTCATTTAATAGCTACATGAAACACTTATGAAATTAATTATCATTCACATCATTCCAAAATGTATTACACAAACACTGTAATTAAAAGCAACAAAAAACAGTTGTTTTTTAATTATTCTTTTAAATATCTAGTCTTAGGGCCTAAGCAACACATACTCTGAAACATAAATGGCATGCCCTGCTGTTATCTCCAGAAAAGGAATCATGCTCCAAAGTATTATTTAAAGATGAAAATGGATCTGCAATGAACCGTATTCTGGAAACTTTACCGTAGTTAATACAATGGAATCTCAGGCTATACCTCTTTTTAACATGAATGACAACATAGTTAGGCAAGAATGTAAGCCTGAATATGCTGACTGATAGTCTTTTCCTTCTCTAATGTCCAGTATTAACTGGTTCATTTCCACTCCAGCTACCAAATAATGTGCCACAACACACAAATCGGTGTTCAAAGCAACCTAATCAGCTCACAAGAGACACAGATCCCACCAAACTGTCAGCATCCTGAACTGTTAATAATTGAGAATCTGAAACAATGTTAGTGGATGAGAGGCTAGAAATCAGCTCTAAAAACAGATACTTGACTTGGAAATTACCTAGCAGGAGTCCAGTTTGTAAAAGATGTTAAAGGGAAACTGACTTACAGGAAAACTTCTGCAAATCAGAATTTTAATCTAGTGTCTGAAAAAAACAAACCAAAACATAACCTGAAAGTATAACCTGGATTTTACATAGCATTACCGCAATTCTACTCAGAGAATCCCAGTAAAGCAGACACACCTTGAAACCTGTAGAATTCTACAGACAAGAAAGGACCTTTTCAGGAAGCCACATAAAAACAGAATACTGACTTCACATTTGTTGCTTAAGAATGGCATTGGTCCAAATTACTAGTTGTACAGGAAGACTCAAGATAGCAGATCAGCTACTTTTGTTTCTGACAGAATTTTGATACCCCGTGTGTTTTCAGTTTAATAATTAGCAAAACTGGAGTAAGAATTTAATGCCAGTCTGACTTAAAACGGTTGACAGCGGAAAGAAATGAAAAATTATGGCAAACATATATGTAAAAAAAGTAACGAAAGCACAGATCTCTCTACCCCAAATAACGCATTTATATCTTTCTAGTTTAAGTTCAGAAACTTTACTGGAATTAAATTATCGTGAAAAGTACCTGTGCAACAATTTTTTTTTTCTCCAGTAATTACCATACACACTTTTTTACAATTTCTACAGCAGGCTAAGAATAAACACTGTGCAACACAGAATGAGAAAATCAAGGCTTATATTTATTATTTACTCAGAAATCTTGTAAGATTTCTTACCAATCTGGCAGCACTCACATTTGAAATATCTGAGGGATCCATTTCAGTTTCAGTTTTAGCTCTTTCCGTTTGATGCTGGTCTATAGTATCAGTGATCAGGGAGGAAGCTTCATCAATCTGCAGAGTTTTTGAAGTACAGTCAGTATTAGTGAGAACTGGAGGTATCTCAGAAACCGTTTGTAAGGAATCTTCTTGCAACGGTGTGCCAGTGCTCCCATCATCTTCCGAGGCATGTGCTGTGAACTAACAAGAGGCATTTGAAAAATTAACGAAATGTAACATACTGATTTTTAAAGTCACTAGAGTCAAAAGGATTTTAACAAAATACCTGGCAACCTTACAGCGAGTATATTTCAGCTGCTCATAATCTTGCTAAAGTTGGATCTTTCTACCGGAAAGCTTCTATGTACGAGATGTGTCTAATGCTGAGGTTTTGGAAAACATGGGATGCCTGTCCACAGCATTGTAAAAATATACGGTTCATTGTAGGATTTTTAACTTACCTATTTGTGCCAATATCTTGATGCATTTCCAGAAATGTAACCGAAATAGCCATTATTTTAAAATCCTCTTCCAATCTGGTTAGTGAATAAAAGCTATAGACAACACTACCTTTCGAAAATGCTCTAAAGAAAAAGTTACAAGATTTAAAGTTAGAAAATGGTTCAAAATTGTACTGACCTGAGTCCTTTCAGTAACAGGATCTTCAGACTGACGTAAAGGATCTTTCTGTACAAGTTCCATGCTTTTGGATGCACCACTGTCCGTAAGCAAACTCCCACGCTTATTCTCTGATGGCGGTGAAATGACATTTTCTTTGTCACTGTCACCTTTGGACTTCAGTGATTCTGCAGCTACAGTTTTTGTTGCCAAAGCTGTGGACCGAGATCGAATGGGCCTTCCACGCTGAACTGTTTCCCAGCCTTCTGCATCCTTTCGATCTACATAAAAAAATAAAACACCCCATTCTAAGAAAGGGAGACTTATAAATAGAAGTATTATAAACAACTATTTTATTACAGTATTACACAAGGGTGATAAAAATGTTCTCTTTAAAAATCAATTAAAAAAAAAAATCAATGAAATCTTCTTTAGCAAAGCTTTTCACTTTAAGGAGTGTTATCAGTTTCACAAACACTGAACAACTCTATTCATGGGACCAGTTCTGTTACTTCAAGAAGCTAGGCTACTCCTACACAAAACCATGTGAAAAATGGCAACATGTATTTAAGCTTTTCATGCCTATGTTGCTATTTCACAACATGGCAAAGCACAACAAAGCAACCACACTCTTACTGTTCTTTGTAGCAACAGTAACATTAGAGGTCTTTTGTGAAAGTGCAAACCTCTGCAAGTACAGCATAATTGCATGTCTTAGCGTGGAAAGTGCCGTCCAGAATGTAGCTTACTATTCTTCCAGAAATGTTTTCTCTACTTTTTCCCTTCATTCTGATAACAAAAATACACTAATCAGTGACAGCTTCTGGAAAACTTCTTTTCCTGGATTCCAGGAAATAGCAAAATATTGCTACAGTGGGACTGCAAACTGAAGGAGAAAATACAAGAGTAATTTTCTTCAATTTACTTTAATGACTAAATAGCTGTTAAATACAACTTGCTGACCAACATTTCTGATAATCTATCTTGGTATATAGCTGAAAAGCCTTCAAAGCTATGTTTGTCTGCCTAAAGTATCAAGTCTTAAGTGTGAATACAACTTCTATAACAAAATTCATTCTCTGGGTATTTCTAAAGCTTTTACTAACAAAGATGGTCCTGTAGCTCAGGCATAAAGATCAGAGCTCAAACATAAAAGTTTAACATAAATATGAATAGGAATAAATACGATTCTACTTGGTAGTCAAAAATGTAATTTGAAACATCCACGGGTGGTGAGAAAACTGAATGATTTGTATATTATGATGAACTGCACATTACCAACTTAAAGACTGGCTTAAAACTTGCATTTCTAGAGATCTGATTTTTAGAAGCAGAATATAAATTGGTTTGAAAATATAAGATAAAAGTGTTATGCTCTCTAAAAATACCACCTGCTTTCAGTAGGAACACATGACAGTTAGGTTAAAAGAAGTGAACCATCTTTATGGACTGCCAGTAATGTCTATATGCACGTCAACATACACATAGGGAGATGAGAGAACAAAATACTTTTTTCTTCCTTTAAGAACATGTATGTTTATTTTAAAGCAATTTACAGCGCATAAGAAGGATTTGTTTTAATATTAATTTTCATGGTCAAAAATCCTTGAGCCTTTTCAAATTTCCCTCCAGGACAACTCTAAAACAAGTACAGAAATTCTGTTACCAACACTTTCACTTGAAGTGCTACACTACAAAGCACTGCAGTGGCACAGTCATAGGACTGTCAATAAAAATGAGGATTATTTTAGGTAAAAGATAAAACCTTTGTACCTACTGGACTAAACTACCTTTAAGTGGACTTGAACTGATGTTCAACATCAGCAGTAACCAGTAAACTGGATATTAGCCTAAATCAGAACCAATGGCACTTTCATACTTTGCTACCCTTGGCAACTAACATTTACAAACATTAAGTGCTCATTTAACTACTGGGTTCTTTTAACATCTCAGGATGAATCACAGCAGCCTAGACCCACGGCTGGTATAAATCATGAGTTACCAGTGAAGTTAACAGGACTGTACTGAAATTTATCTTAGCTCAGCAGCTCACGCAATAGCTGTTTCTACCTAACTATATAATTGTACAAACCTTAACAATATTGACAATATGACTGATGCAAAAAGATAAATCAATTTGATATTTTACGGTTGAAACTATTTTACTCTAGAAAATTCACTGTGTATTTTAAAGTAAACACAGTTCCAAAACTCTGCGTGAACAACTATAGCTGATCTCTCCAGATTACTGATGGTAACCAGAGACAGCATACCTCTGCAAAAAGCCTTTCTATGTTCATTCCCCCTATGTGTACTTGCACATGCTTCAGTATGCGCCACTGATTAGGGAGGGGAACGGCAGTCAAAAATACACAAATTACATTTTTTGCTTTACCACAGACTTTCCATTTGACCTCTGTAAGCAATTTTGGCTTTATTTTCATTTCTTCACTTTTATATGGAAAAAATATTATTACCTACAGAACCAAGTGATCGAAACATGTTATTATCCTCTCAGAGACAACCTTATCTCCATCAATACTCCAGGGAATAGGGTTTTAATTCCACAAGAATCACAAACAGATTTACTGCAGAAAGCTCCAGGCACACAGTCTGTGTAGAATATGGACCTGCATTACATGGGACAACAAGGATTGCTTAGGTCCTCTGTGTATCACAGCTGCTTCTACTCCATGGAGTTCTGTGACTCGTAGGACCACAAAGATTCTGCTGTATATAGCTTATGATAAAGGCCAAGAAATTCCCCTCGCAAGTAATATACAGACAATGAAAAGACTGTTCAGAAGACAGCTGAAATCAACCAAAAAACTGCCATTGCTTTACTGCAGCAGACTTTTGGATTGTGATTCCTTTTGCTCGTCATTTGCGAAACAAGATTGTTTCAAGATTTCACTTCTACTTGTTCTGAAAATTGAAGTCAGCTTTTCCATAAGGCATCTTTTCTACACTAAAAAAGATCAGGAGATACTCTTTAGTAGTATCTACTACCTAAATATAATTTTACTAACATCTATATAATAAGATATATTAATCTTACATATATCTTAATAACTGTACTAATAGCTTCTAATATCTTTAGTAATATCTACTGAAGTTAAATCTACGAAAAAAAAAATATCTTGCCTGCCTTGCCTAGTTGATTCCTTGTTTCATGGCCTATTTCTTAGTACTCTAAAATGACAGAATTAATCAGAATAAAATTACTCAGAGCACAGCAAAGCCATAATCACACTTACTACAATAAGAATGAATCTTTGAGTAAAAGCCATACACGTTCAATTTTTAATTTGTATTTGTTCACTGTCAGATTCATAATTATGACTCAAGACTAATCCAATTATTTTAACAGCACAAAAATGTTTGTGTTTGAAAGAATATTGTTTGGTGGATTCTTTAAATACAAAACAGTTTTTAATGCAAGCACGCATTCACACCATTGTAGTATTTGGAATTAGTTTAACAGTTTTATGCCATCTGACAAGTAGCTATGCACAAGAAGTTATTTTTTGATTTCAGTTCACTTATCAGTTTAGTATTCAGTCATTTCCAGGCACATTTTTAACAACAAGTTTGCAAAGCTAATATGTTTATTGACATTAGATCACATAGTTCCTAATCTGAAGCAAAGTTAATACTCAGCAGGGTATCACCCTTCTTCCCTTCCTTCACTTTTTCCCTAAGTCTGGAATTCTTTTCATACAGCCCAGTAGCCATCTCCACATGCTAAGTATCACATGCTGGGTTTGATTACTCCCAGCATTTTGTTAATGAATAATTCATTTCACTACCTTGATCATTCTCTAGTTTCATTTGAACCTCCCTGTCCCTGCTTGTTCTTGTATTACATGGAAGTGACAAGCCATCTGTTATCTTGAGGCCCTCATAGCCACCAGGGCCTTATGCTTTCAAAGTTACTCCATCTGGAAGAACTGACCAAGCAGCTGGCTTGGCAGCATCAACAAAATAAATGTAGGTAAGCATGTGCAAAACTCTTAGGAGTTCCACCTCAGGAGATGCATGTCCCTTCTTAAAAACTTACTTGCAAGTAATATACTACCAACGCCTATTTGACCTTCCCCACTCATTACTACACTTCAGCCCAAATTTTTTTTTTTTTTTTAATCTAAAGTAGTATTACTGTATCTGAGAGGCACTTTGGAAAACCATGATTGTTTGAGAATCTCGAAGCAAATCTAGAAACATGAACTCAGCCAAAACAGTTAGTGGGCAGAAGACATGAAAATCAGAACAATAAAATTAAAACAAACAAAACAAAACAAACAAACAAAAAACCACAAAAAACTCCCCCCCAAACAAAACCAAAAAAGCACACACCCAAAAAACCAGAGAAGCAGAGAAGATGCAGTGGTACAAGAAGTGGTAAATTTATAAACCATAAGAAGAGATGGTGAGTTAATAGGCAAGACTTTAGAGGTGTTAATTGTCAGACTACTTTTAATAGTCACTTAATACTGGGCGGGTGGGCAGGGGGGAGAAAAAAGATAAAGATAATTAATGTAAAATTTTCAACAGAAACTGTGCTTAATAATTTGACAAGCCAGTCAGGAATAAACTGTCCTTTGTGTGATGACATTCCTGCGATTTGCTCTCAATATGCAGAAGTTACACATGCTTCCACAAGGTCAGGTGCCAGCACATCTGAGCCCAAACCAGGACAGTTACTTTAAAGGACTGTACGTCCTGCAAAGTCTGAAGTCTTCGCTACATTACAAAGAACATCTATTCACAGCTACTGACGTGACCAATTAATACAGGAAAGATAATAATAATAATAATGAATAAAATTAGATTTCAAGTGTGGCAACAGAAAAAAAAAATTATATTTCTGAGAAATTTACACTTTCTTGACTGCCTTTTCTCCTAACTTATGTACAAACCATAAATAGTTATCCTAATTGTAAGTAACTACTTCCAGTCTTAATACACACTCTAAACTTGTATAATCTATCTTACCTCTTACAACAAGCACCTGGGAATTAACTTCATGCTAGACTATTGCCTCTGTGTGCTACTGTTACTAAATCAATCTTTTCTCTTGCCATAAACTGGTCAGACAATAAGATTAGACTATGTTTCATATTGTAGAAAACACTCAAGCACGAAACAAAATTATTTTTTAAAATTCATTAAAATATTGAGGGTAACAGTAAGTTCAATAAGGGAAATGAGGTAAGGTGATTTAACCTCATTTAATTATGCATCCAGAAAAAGAAATTTAAAGAAATATCTGGAAAAATAATGCATTTTCTCTCTCCCTAAGGACATATTCAGTTAAATTTGGAAATTCTATCAACCATGAAACAGATACAGTATCAAACCACTTGTCCACTTCACAGAACCATTGTGAAACCTAATGATAACGCTGTTGGAAATCACTAGAGAAAAAGCGTTTTAGGGAAATCTTGCCACTGTAAGCCCCAGCTGGGTTTCAGGGTGGGCAAGAGAGCATTCTAGGGTGGCAGGAGAAACCTTCCCTCCCACAAGGCCTGAACGTATGTAACAGCTGTGAGTGCATTAGCTGGTGAAGAGGCAGAGCAGATGATACATAAGCCTCATATCTGCTTCAATAATGCATGAGAAGAGCCTTTGTGACTTCCTTTGCGTAAACTCGTAAACTTCACAGATTCTCTTGTGCTCCAGTCAGTGAGGTTAATTTGATTTTACCAAAGTGATTCTAGCCTCCATACAAAGGGTAACACGCTTTTAAGAGAATTTGAGTTGTTAAAAACATTACAATACAAACATGAGGGGGAAAACAAAAAAAAACAAACAAACAAAAAAAAATAAATCACTGAAATTCTCCAGTGTTGAATGTCAGAGATAAGAGATTCTTAAGAATAAACAAAAACTCTAGAAGGAATTACTTATTTCTTAAAAATGAAGTGTTTCAAGTCTGAATTGTATAGTACATTTGATTTTGAGAATTACTGAACACTTCTTGGCCAGTACTACAGGACCTAAGTGGTTTCACTCTTTTTGAAGCTCATTAGCTGCAGGTAATGGCCAATAAAACACAGCACAACACTGACCCTTCAGCCCTTTAAATGCCTAAACCTAACATAACGAAAAGGTCTTTTGTTTTCCTTTTAGCTGCTTATAAATATGTTATACATATGGAAGTGCAGATCAGTTTTATTCCCTGTGTAGCTAGTAAGATTCTCCATAGGCACAAGAATCCCTAATAAAGGTATTTTAGCAACAGCTTGGAGTCTGTCACTTTAATATGAGTGATAATCAACAGAAAAAAGTTTCATTATGAATAGCTTCAACTACTGGCAAAAATTAAAAGTGGAATGACACCTTCAGTTACAGTGTTGAAAACTGAGCCAAACTGCTACTGTTCTCTAACCATCTCACGGCAACCATATACAGCAAGATAATTCACTCATGCAAACAGCGTCAATCAATTCCCATTCAAACAACCATTTTTAGAGTATGGTTTTGATTGTTCATTTCTAAGCATAAGAATCTGCATTCTACTGAACTCACTTATGTCAACTGCAAGGCATTTGGACAAGGTATTTTAGTTCCATAACATATCACAAGTCTCCAAACTAGTATACATGACTTCTACTACTACTACGTTGAACACACAACTATCTTTAATTAGCACATACTCTTCCAGTATTTCTTCTTTTTAAAAAAACAAATTCTGAACATTTCTTTTAAATTTCTTTCAGAATATCTATTTCTACATCCTGTCTGCTGATTTTAGAGAAAGTCATCTAGGACTACACAAGAAAAAAATAAATAGAAAAAAATGCATCTCTGAAGACAATCTCAGGGTTCCAGGGTATGCAAAGAAACTAACTTTATAAACCAAATGGTAAAGTTTTTTTTATGTCTACAATTGAACAAATGTCTCCTAGAACAAAAGACTCCACATCAACAATTCTCCAAGGAGAACCGTAGAGAAACAATTCATAACTGAATGTGTTAACTCTTGTCTTCAAAGAAAAAAAACATCAATTGTTACTTCAGCACAGTTCTAATGACATTGTCTCTTTGGGCACATAAAACTGTCTTGAGCTCTTTTACAGATTCCTGGACATGTATTATTCCTTAGATCCTTAAGCCATTCCAAACTGCAGTCAGTTAGATTGTCAGTTTGTGACCAAAGACCTTTTACTTCTTGGGGTGTTACGCACTGGTATTTTTAACAGATCAAAATACAGTGGAATGTTACCTACACATGAAAACGCAACTTTGTCTCAAACTTGAGCATTACAATGTAAGGCTGCATTAATCTTTTATCTTTATACTTAATTTAAACATCATATTTTGCAAAATTACACTTAATTTTGGTTTGAAAACAGGTCATCACACTCTGAACTAACTTTATGCCACACAGTTTCTGAAAATAACTTAAGTCACTTAAAGAGACTTGCCATTTTTCCGCGATGACTTCTGCGCTGGAGGTGGCAGACAGGTTTGTGCTGTTGCTAGCTCAGGACTGGCAGCTTTAGTTCCGTGATTGGCTTTTACCTTATCAGCCCAACTTACACCAGAAGGAGCCAGGCGTGTTGCAGAAATTGTCACTGCAGGGTTCCTAAATGAAAGTCATAGCTCTTTTTAGTGTCTAATCAAATAACAGAATGGTTCACTAGAAAACTTTATCAGGACACTCTCTCCTTATTCTTGGCATTCAATAATTCAGACTGAGAGCTAGTTCCAAAAACTAGAATCTACTATAAAACAACAAGAAAAGCTTATTATAGTTACTCTTCACACAGCCTGTCTCTCTTTTTCTCTTTCCACAGTTTTGTAAAAATGAAATTTGTAGTTCTTGAACATTAAAGCCTCAGTAGACTTCTCATCAGCAAGATCCCTATAAATTCAACTCATGAAAAAAGTAAGTCTAAACACAGAAACAAGGATACAGCAATAAATCAGCAGGTGGTGGGGGGCGGGGGGGGGGTGTTGTTTGGGGGGGGGGGGGGGGGGTGTTGTTTCTATTAGGTAACTATGTTGATAGCCTATTACATATTCCCAGTCACAGAAAAGTCAGAAGAAGATAGAAAATAGTGCTGCCCCTGGAAAAAAATCTCCAAGTGAGATTCCTTCTATTTAGTAGTCAATGAAACTAAACAAGGAGCTAAGTTCTCAGATCAAAATTTTTACAATGTCTACTGACTGAAGAAACACGCAACACTAGCAATGGACAAACAGCTCCCACAGGAAACATTCTCCAATACCAAATTATAAATCATAGAAATAAACATATGGGGAGTATTTACAGCCACATACAACAGCTCTCCTATTGCATCTCCCTGTGTCCAGCCTAATTTCATCAAAGAACTGTACAGAATGGGCTGCAGCCATTACTAATACGAGGAGTCTAACAAAGCATATAGGCAGGAAGTCCAAAAAATTGCAGGTTTAATTGTTAACGTAGATCACACAAATCCGTAATATACTCTGTTCCAAGGTTAAGTAAATAACGGAATAGATCTATTTTCTATTTTCTACTACTCAGCAAAAATAAATTGTAAATCTGGAAGGCCATTCCATTAACTTTCAGAAAGGTCCAAATAACACTGACCACCCAAACTTTGAATTTCTGGATAGACAGAACCGCAGTGGTTTTTCAATTATTTTGCTTTGCTTTTTGTAAAAAGTTGCCATTTTCTGCACAAGGCTTAGAGCAAAAACCTATATAGTTTTATTTAAGTGAATTCAAGCAAAATTTTTTAAACCGGAAAATGGTAACATTCAAGAAGCATAACAAGAACTGTCCAATTCTCTCTTGTAACAAGAGTAATTTTATCTGCAATCATACAACTGATTTCTGTTCCAAGCTTTACAACACTGATTAAAACAGACCAACAAATCCAGCTGCCTCATTAGCTAAAGCAAATCAAGGATAAGGAAATGGAGATCTTGCAAGTTTCAAACAAATGTGTAGAAAACCCCCATATAACTAGATTGTTCACTTATTTGAAGCCCAGTGAGATGTCAATTTGTCATTATTTCCTATTTTTATCAAGTCAGTCATCAAAAAAAAACCTATCAGGAATAATTCCATAAATTACAAAAATGTGGCCGGTTGGTTTGTTTGTTTTTAGTAAACCCCATTGATCCTATGGAGATGCAACGCCATTTCATGTGAGGAAATCTGGAAAGGAGGCCAAGCCCCATACCCTGTCAGAGACTGTCAGAACTGTGCAGTACAGAACAACTCCTCCTTTGGCATACTCTCCACATTGCTGCAATTTACACTGAAAAGTTGTTGTTAAACACATCTTTGGGTTTAATGACCAAAGATGGACTTCAATCTTCATGACACTAATTTCTGAAGTCATTTATGCTTTTGGCATCCAAAGCATTGCATAACAACAGATGCTACATACTAAGTCTTGAAAAACACTTTTGTCATTTTAAGCTTGGTGTTTGATCACATCAATTAGTACTCCTCCTTTTCATGAAAAATAACAAACAGAATTTTCCTACTCGTCATCTCTGATGCTTTTGGCATCCAAAGCATTGCATAACAACAGATGCTACATACTAAGTCTTGAAAAACACTTTTGTCATTTTAAGCTTGGTGTTTGATCACATCAATTAGTACTCCTAATTCCTTTACATGAAAAATAATGAACAGAATTTTCCTATTCATCATCTCTGTAAGTGATTTTATTTATTGCACCCTTCTTGTTATCTGTCCTCCTAATTCTTTTCTTTTTCTATCAGTACTGTTGGATACTTCTGATTGTTCCTGTGCTTTTCCTACTTTTTCCACACTGCTTTTGGGAAGAGAGGAAGACAACCAAGGGTACAAGCCGTTCACTATGCACTTCTACAATGGTACACCACCACCTTCTCTTCTGTCCTCTATTCCTTTCCTAATAATTCTCAACATTCTGTCAAAAATTTCCATAGTACCAAGTACGTCTAAACCCTTATTTTCTCTCGTATTTTCTCAAACACACACAAAACTCTATTCCTTTCCTAATAATTCTCAACATTTCCATGTCAAAAATTTCCATAGTACCAAGTATGTCTAAACCCTTATTTTCTATCCTATTTTCTCAAACACACACAAAATACTGTAGCTGTCTGGTGTTGCCTTGCTTTGAGACACACAAGCAGACTAAGACAGAAGAAAAAGTTTGCAAGTTTGAAGAACAGAAAACCCATCTTGTTATTAGCTGCTTTAACACACACGGTTGCTAATCATCTCCCTCTGATGGTGAACAAAACAGCTCCAGCAACAACAGCAACATGTAATTACATACAGAAAAAGGCTTAGCTGAAACACATCATTATGCCAAGCTGCTGTTTGTGTTGTCATAAAAATAAAAGAGCATTGATTTCCAACAGGTTCAAATTTTTCATTTGACTACTTGAGTATATTTTCTCACCATCATCATGCATTTAAGCAGACATCTCTCAAATGTCATCAGGTAGGTATCAATACATACATCTACATCTACAAAGAGACTAGCACTGTTGGACCAATTTTTCCACCAAACACACTTTGTAGTACTTTTGTAGAAATATTTGATATTCAAAATTTAAGAGAGCTCAATACTCAAGAGGTATTCACCAAATATTCCAATATTATATTGCTGAGGACATTGAGGACTGCTAAGGACATTGTAACCACTTATGAAACAGTACAGTTTCATATTCATTTCAATTTACAGCTCTAGATCCCAACAAACCTGAATGAACTAAAAAACACACCCTGAGAAAGACTTAAATTGGACATGTACGTGCTCTCCAGAACTGAAACAGTACCAGACAGTGCTGCTCCAAACTGGTGTTTAGGCACATTTTTGTTTAAGTGCTTTCAAACAGCCACTTTCTTTTTAACAAGTAAAAGATACTTTACTGCAGTATATAATACACTCTATATTTAAACTAGTATCAGTTTTGCTATTTACCAGAATCATAATACTCTTACTTCACATTCATTCTTTTTGACCTAAATGTACTTTCACACACTCAGCTGACCATTCGCATTGCACACACTGGCAATTTTTAAATGCCAATTACAGACATTTTGACCTTTGTTTTGTAGTGGGAAGAGAGTATTAAACAGTTAACATGAAATACACTAATTGTATTTTACCTTCAGTTCTTTGGAATGACCAGTAATTAAATATATAATGAAATAAAAAATTAAGCCCTTGAAAGGATTTTCTTTTACAGACCATGTGCTTTTCCTTCAAGAATGCAAGTAATTGCATATATGAGTTAATAAACAGCAAAACAATATATTGATTACTATAGATAAATAGTGTATTCATGAACTCTGCTTCAAATAAACCTTTATTTTAGCTTTAGTAAACTTACGATCTGGTTTCATACCCAAAATTTAAGCTTCTTCGAGCATTTGATGTCACACTAATTCTATCTGTTGATGGACTTGGAATCACATGGCGTCCTGGAGACATTTTCTTTACTTCCCAGGCTAATGAAGTAGGTCTGCAAATTCAGGAAAGAAAAGTTTAAAAATAAAATTCACGGTAACTACTCCTCTATCACCTTAAAGGAAAAACAGCACCAACAAATCCTATGAAATATTAATGAATACCGCTGAATTTAATCATACATCTTAGCAACTGTTTCTACACCAACTCCAAACCCTATTAGCCAGATCCATATCAAAAATAACATATATGCTCAAGACTACAATGCTTATTTTACTTGTCAGTGTGGGACCAAACATCAAACCAACGAGCTAAAAGGAAAGGATCAGGGGTAGGACTGGAAATATCCTCTAGCTCTAGTGACAGTAACTGTGTACATAAAAGGCCACAACCATTTTCCTATCCTGTGTAACAGAGCATTCAATACAGTATAAATGCTGCTTTGGTTAATATAGGTATCATATACCTCCAGTACATAAAAAACTTTAGAACTAACCAAATACATCACCATCCACTCCTTCTGTTATACTACCGACATACCAAACTTTGTCAGCAGTAACATTTACTGATAAATGTATACTTGCAAAGAAAATTGACCAGGTTTATTTAAGTTAACTGCTGCTAAGGTAAAATGTTCTCATCCAAACAGACACAGTTTGAGGCAGAAGCCAGGGTAGTAGTTTCATTATGCATCTCACTGAAGCTGATGCTATTTTCTTTTTTATTTTTAACTCTTGCTCCTGAAGCTGATTACATCAAAATTACAACTGACAATTAAAAACAAAATCAAACTTGTAGAACCCAGTGCTAGTGAAGACAGATTCAGAAAAGCACTTACATAAATTCTTTTTCAACTGGTTCCAGTCCTACTAGCAGGATTAACAGCCTATAAACAACTAACAAAACCACTGTCACATTTGGTCTACTTTTTGTCTCTACCTAGGCAGATGACTGATTGGACTCACTACATAACAAAGGAAAATGAAAGAATTAGAGTGTATCACTCCACATATACTACAAGTCTCCCTTCTTCTACAGGCACAAATCATACTAGCAAACCCTTACTTCCCATTTACCTCTCAAAGCTAAAGTTTAGGCACCAAGGTACAAACTCAACACTAGGCACAAATTATAATGACATAATCAGTTTTACCTTTCTGACACTATACTTCCAAACTCGTTATCATTTCCAGCACAGCTGTTCACTGATAACACTACCAGGGAAGATAAAATCCCCTCTATGTCCTCACACCAATTCTGTCCAAAAGGAAAATCTCCTTCCTGATGCCCCAGAGTAAATATTAAAATTGGTTCTATTTGCTGAATCTCTGCTACAAAATGAAGTTTACTATGAGACAGTATTTGGATGTAGATTAAAAAATACATATATATAAATCTAATTACCTGCTTTGAGCATCAGCTTTTTCTAGCTTCTCCTGTAGCTGTATCCAGTCAATCAACGCTTTGAAGTCCCTTACATAGTTATCAAGCATCATCAGGACTTCCTGAAAAGCAACCATTACATCAGCCTTTGTATTTAAAAAACAATCCCCTCACTCCAATAAAAGAACTGAAAAGAAAGTAGGCAATTTACTAGTCTGTAGCTCTGTCATAAAAAATAAAACCAAGAAAAACCCTGAAAACAAAAAAGCCGAGATAGTTAAGATTTTTATGTGAACAAGCATTAAAACATTTATCCTATCAAAAAACATGCACATTTTCTAAGATCTCTGCAAGGACCAATGTCTAAGGACAAAATAGCAAAATTTCGCAAGAAAATAATTCCTAACATACGTAAGTGTCATTGTTTCCGGACTTTTTTGTCAGAGTTGTTATCTTTTAAAACATGCTGGACATACTTCATCAAATAAGCAAAACTGTCTGTAAAACCTGACAGACCTGTGGGAGACTAAAAACATCACAATTAATCTGTTTGTGAAGGAAAAACACACAAAGCTACAAAAAAAGGTAACTGCATCAGATGGAAGGAATTCCTTCTGGAGAATCCTGGGATCCCTGCTTTAGGAAAAAATAGTTCTTACACCTCTGAAGTTCAGGAAACCATATCCTGTTCCTACAGACTTTCAAGCATGCCGAACTTAAAAATGATGCTTGCTTGTACATGTCCAGATTAAAGACAGACATTCTATTGTGACATGAGATTATCAGCACTACTGTACTAATAAAGCAGTTTTTAATCAAAAAGACTCTCGTGGTGATATTTTGAGAGACAAAAAGAGAAAGACTGCAGCATTACACTTGGTTTATAAAATCATCATGTTTGACATAAACTTACTGAGAAATAAGCAAGCTGCAAGATGCAAGGTTTACATTCTCTCTTCTCTGATTAGCACACCTTAACAAGTGAAAAATGTCACTAACTGCACATTCTTGTCTATGTAGTAATTATATGTCCAGACCGTACAACTCCAATACCCAGATTATACCTCTTGGCCATTACAAACCAATGAATTTTTTACCATTGAAAAATTACTTTTGAACTACATGGAGTTACAAAAGAATTTACGCATTTTAATGTGACTTAATCACTGAAAGCTGTAGTCATGAACAAACATACTTTACGGCTTGAAAGACTTACACATTATCCTAAAATAGTACAACTGGGAGGGATCTTAAGAGCAATCTAGTCCATCCCATAATTCCTGAGTAGGATTAAACATATACTGTCAGAAATTGTGTGTGCATGCTGGAGTTTTATTTTGATTTGCAAAATCTTGATTAAGTAGTTAGAATCTTTTAAGTTGTGTATTGGTCTCTAACAAATAAAATTAACTTACGAAAAGACATATAAAATTAACTTGACTTTACTATATCAGGAAGAAATTCATAGATAAAGTGCCAGTGGGGAACAGCTGGGAACTAGAAGACGCTTCTGATAAAAATATCCTTAACTTTCAGAAATTATTGACTGTATCTACTGACTTCCAGTTGAGTCAAACGTACAAGTGTAGTAACTATAGTAAGGTCAGAATACATACAGAAACAATAAAAAAAAATTAAAAGGTAAGTTGGGATCCTGCAGTCTTTACTCAGACAATACTGACTTTTTTTCACAGCAAAGCAGAGCAAAAGACTATATGATTAAACTCTTAGTTTTGTTCCCTGAACAATCTATAGTTATCTGCTGTCACTGGTAGAGAAAGAAGCAATTCTTTACCATGCAGGAAGCTAGGAAATCAGTTATATTCCACATATAAACTCAAAAATCATTTACTGAATGTGACAAAACCCATACAGATCATCACAGCCACCAGGCATAAGGCACGTTCTCAACACAGCCGATTGTCACGCAAGGAAGGACATTAATGCATTTTCTAAAAGAGATAGTTCGAGATCACGTCAATCAGAAATAGAAGCTTTCATAACTACTCTTTCACAGGCAAGAAAAATGTATACTGTACTCTATGATGACAACATGCTGAAAGTAATAAAAATCCATAAATGAAGCTAGAATTCTATGAAAAGTTACCTCAGCTTCACATGCAGAGTTTAAAATATAGACATAATCTTACGGTATAAAGAAAAACACTAATGACAAAGTGTTGCTGTTTGCCATATTCTTTACTATGTCAAAGTCATTCTTTTTTTTTGCTGGTATTAAGAGAAATTTTCTGCTCAAAGCAAATAATTATTACTCAGAAATATTTTAGGAACAATTACAAATGAAAATGTACTGGTTCTTAAGGGTATAACTACAAATTTTAACAGTAAATCTTTTAATACTGAAAACAGTAAAAACACTCTACTACAGTACAGTTAACTAACACACATTTTTGTAAAATTATGTCCCATTCATCTTTACTTTTAATTGTCCTTTTAATAGAAAAATGACCTCTAGTGTATGCAAAATGCCTTTTCATACGAAATTATATGGATGATTATTCATTTTATTTCACACAAATGCAAGTTTGAAATTCAGATTCGGTTTTCACATAAGTATCCTTTTAACTAGTATGTATGACAGATAAAGAGGCATATGCTGGTTTTTATAAGGGAAAAGCCACAAGAAAGTCAAACACAAGGGAAATCTAACAGAATACCACTGCTGATGTAAAAGTTGCTATTTGTTTTGAAATACTCCACAAAAAAAGGTAACAAAAATTCCTTCTTACAAGGCAGTTGGTTTACAGCATCAAAATAATTCTTAAGTAAAGTCTGTTACAAGAAATGAACAAGTCAAGTATTTTAGCCAGTGCTTTGTTCAGTTTCACTAATAAAATTTCAGCTTTCTAATTCAATTCATTCCCATTTAGGTTAGCCCATACTAAGTTGTGCTGACTGTTACTAACAATAAGAGCACAGAAAGCAAAATTTAATTCCAAATCATTTACTTTTCAAGTCTGCCACTGATATATTCCTCAAAAAAAAAAATTACTAAATCTGACTATGAGTTCTATTTCTGAAGTTAGTTGGCACAGTAAAAAAAAAATACAATAAATGGCTTAACCTATTTTAAGGAATGTTTAGCTACACATTATCAGAAATGATCAGAGCAGAACCATGCAGCTGTAACCCGAGTCATGTTTTACGAACAAGGGAATACAAACAAGACAAGCAGCTGGAGCGGCCCCATATTCACTGATGCACATCTTTCTCCCTAAAGCTATGAGGGCCATTTTGTCAAGCAGGATGAAGCAGAACAAAAGTGGCTCTGAAAGCGCCGCTACAGGCATCCAGATAACTACATATAGATGTACAGCTAAAATTACCAATTAGTTTACCAATTGGCTGCAACGGATTCGATTGGTTTGTAATTAATTCTAGTTACTGGCGCATACAGCAGGACGGTTGGCGCCATCCCTTTGTCCTGCTGACACACAATACTGGCGTGCAGGGCTCTGGGGTCTTGGACATCAATACAGCTCTCCAGCTCACCTACGGTACCGAGTGCAGCAGATATACCCTGTGGTGCTGAAGCAGTGGAAACTTGTACCACTTGAGAAGGTGCTGACAAAAAGGAACCTTTATGGGGTAGACTACGGCTACACTAGAGTCAAAACAATTTTAAATCCCATTATTTTTCAAGGTCATATCCATCCCATACGATTTTTAAAGAGTCAGTTCAAACTAAAAAAGAAAGCAATACTGTTAAAAAACAACACTTAAAGGAAAAACAGTGACATAAAACTAAAAACACTCACAATACAGCTCCTGTTTCTTTCTCCCCTCTGTTCAATTCTCTGATCAATAGTTCTGTATGTCAAAAAGCTCTTTGTGCTTTTGCTTCTTTTCTCCAGCTCTCAGTCATTACCCTGGTTTCTATGTATTTATCTTAAAGTTGTGCTTCTAGGCCCTTCAATTGGGTGATAATATTAATTATTTTGCAAACAACAAGGATCTCTAATATACAGACTAGCTACATCAGAATAATCCTATATTCCTGAATCAGTACCATCTTGACTTGGCTCCTAGATAGGCCTATTATAATCTTTAAAAGCAGAAGTTCACTTTGTTTGGAAATCCCATAACGGCTTTTAAACGTCGTCATCTCCATTTATTCTCCCATTCTCAAACAAGGAGGAGGAAAACAGGGAACCATGGAAGATTGTAGGATTTTAACGTTACTACAATTCAAAATAGTAGAATGCATGTCAGAGAAATTAACTCAGTCACCACATCAGTACTTTAGCTTATTCTCAATGCTAGAAATGTGTGTTTTATTTTATAAACTATGCATACTTTATATTATTTTATTATTTATACCAAATATTTTAGATTATGTTATTTACCAAAATAAACTCCATTTTCTTGTACTGGAGTACATTTCTAGCAGGCAACCTAAGTTCCTTCTTTAAATTTATGTTTTTAAGGTTAACCAGGTGTTTCAAATAATTTGACACAAAAAATGCTTAAAAAAATATCTTTAGTTTTTTTTCATACAGTTAAATTGCAAACACTTAAAGCCATCTCTGGGGTTAGGTTAAGCAAAGATGATTGCCAAAGCAGTTCTTACAGCTTTGGGAAAGGATGAAAGGAAGCAGCTCCTCTAGCCAAAGAACTCTCATTATACCAAGTTCAGTACATGGTAGATAACATACGAGAGAGAGAGTCTAAAACAGGTGCAGAGAGGAGAAAAACAGAGTAATTTTCCAGTAACTAAAGTTCTCCCAATTGGTGTGCCTTTTAAACGCTCTCACCCTAGCCTTGCAGAAGCCACTAAGCAGCAAAATCTAGATAGTAAAGCTGCAGGAACACACGGCCTCTTAGGTCCAAGTGTGAAGTGCACTGTATCTGGTCTTAGTTTTTTCCTCATTGATTCACCAACAACATGACAGCCATAATCCACTATCCGCCAAGTATGTGCTCAATAAAAGCGCAACTGTTATCAAAGAAAATTTTCTCCATAAGATGAATGTAGCAGTCAGGGAGGTTCATGCAGGGAGATAATCATGCAATTTATTTACACAAGAAATGTTAATGTATATGATGCAAAGGATGAAGAGCTAGGAATAGGATTATCCAGACTGCCAACTAGAAGAGATGC